TAAACAAACAAGCAGGAAAATGAAACTTATCGCCGTCTTTTTTTTACCGACCTCAAAAAAAGTTATCGTGCGATTAATTGATTTATTGACTATCGCGACAGGCCTAGTAGTCGCATTCTCTGTGATTCTTTTATACCATTATAAATCTTTAAGGCACAATAAGAGAAAAGAAGTTGTTCTACATTTTTCATGTGACAAGCATTATCTTTGATTTAACAAATGCATACACATTCTTAGTTAAATGAAAAATGAATCAGTAACAATGGGGATTATTCTGTCCATTATCTGATTAAGAGGAAGAGATGTTTTCTTCCACGGTTAGAATAACCTGTCATGGCCTAATTTTAGTTCAAAGTGGAACAGAGTTCCTGTCTTCTTTGAAGGCCCTTCTGAGGCCTATTTTAGAGGCAGAAATTCTTGTTTTCTCACTTGAGGTGGCCCCTACACGAACAACAAAATTTTACATTTAAAAGACAATAACTCAAATTAATGTTGACTTATGTTTTAAAAAAAGTAATTTTTAAAAACTTATTCACCAAATTAATTCATACTTGACTGTAATCACATATTGATCATATTATGAGGCTTTACTTTCCCAAAAGGGCTTTAACTTCAAGTCTGATAGATCTGTCTGAAGCTGGAGACAGTGTTCTGGGGTCTCATTTATAAAGGATTGCGTGGAAACCATACTAAAAGTGAACGTACGGCCAAAAGGCGGAAACGGCGTACGCCAAAAAAAAAATTCAGATTTATAAAACCATGCGTACGCACTTTTCTGCGCATCTTTCCTTTATAAATCACAGCCACACGTCAGAGTTTGCGCACGAGGTCCCGCCTCAGGTTCCACCCTCTGTACGCCCACACTCAACCATAAACAGTCAATGTAAAGTACCTCATGAATGTTAAGATRTATTTAAATCAGTCAGCTGATCAATGCCAACAAAAGTGATTGGTTCAGACACGCTACGTAAATAAGTCAGATAAAATTACAAGTAAGTCCACCGCTCTTCTCCTCGTCCTCTCCCCCTCCTGCCTGCTCTGTTATCCGCGGCAGACACCCCCACTCCGCGCACACACACGCGCACGCATACCCCCCCACCCCACCCCCGTGCGTGCGTGCGCTTAACAAATATGGACTTTAAACGTGAAGTTTTATAACATTCACACCGGCGAGGAAAGCATGACTTTTGCTGTCCTGCTGTTCTTGTCAGGGAGGGGTCTGTGGGTCAGGGTCGTCTGAGGTGGAAGCAGATGAATGGAGTTGCACACGGGAACTTTTAAGACTTAAGGTTTTTTTTATTTCAAAAGGTCCTCATGGCTCAGCAGCAAAAGCATAAATATTACTGTTAAGAAAGCTGATGATAAAGTTGAATAAAAATCTAAGTCTGATTCTGAAGGTAAATTAAATCTCTGACAGTGATCATGACGCAGTGTGGCTCTAATTCACCACTTCACCATCTGTGTCGCAGTTTCCCGTCTCCAAAATGAGCGTAGGCTATGGAGAGCCGTTTTAGCCAAAATTAAATAAATAAATAAATGGTTGAAATAAATAAAAAAATGAGTAAAAT